ACCCTAGTATAACCAACCATTTACACCTCTCAAAGTTTGCTTGTGATGCTTCTCTTTAGTTTTTCCAACGATTTCATTCTGCAAGTGTGTTTGACTCTTCACTCTACTCGATCTGATTCGACGATGTTCATTTGTTGCTGTTTATCGTACGCCTGCTCCATTGTAGTACAGCGTGGATGTAAACATATAAATATACTTACGCTTCTCTTATTTATAAGTAGCGTGTAGTATATACAGCTTTGATGCAGTACAATATGTGTATACGTATATGTTTACTATTGTATTGAGCATAATATGGGTGTGTATTTGGTAGAAATGCGGCTTAATGTATTGATATTTGTGTAGATATTTATGTCTATTTAAACATTCGTGCATGAATTTATGTATAGAGAGCACTTGTTCTTTATACGAATTCGTTTGACTTTGTTATAACGATTATTGCGTACGGCTGCAAGTGTGACGGTATGCTATGAAATGCTTTGCCGGGGGCTTTTTACAACCAATTAGAAAAAAGAGTGCGGGCACTAATTAACCACCTATCCAGTTTTTTAATTAACCAATAATAAGACTGCAATACAAATGAGTGTTTTAGGATAACATTTAGATGAAAACACTAATTTTTTGGATAGGTAAATACTAGGAAAAAGAGAAATCGCAGGAAAATAACGACAAAGCTTCCATGTACACATTAATTGTAATTATATTATTATATTGTATAAGTATATATTATATATATGTATTTGAAAGTATGCACACGGATATATATATACTATATATATGTACATGAATATAGCGATGTTAAATGTATATTATAGAACAGAGTTTAAATTTGTTCTTGTGTACGCGAATATTATTTCTATTTATGTACATACATACATATGTACGTATGTTCATGTGATTGCATGTATTAGACCAACCAATAAGGAGTAACTTAGGTGCCAAGTTTGCATCTCTATAGTCTTTTTACTCAGGCCGCGTTGCAAAGTATAGTTACACACACTCCTGCGACTTGTTTTTTGATATACTGTATCAGTGCAGTTACTTGCCGGATGAATCATATTTGTAACGTTAGATAGGGTATATCATTAAAATGAGTTGTAAGACAAATGCTCAATATCGGGTATAGTCCGACTGCTTAAATTTTTTGTAAGCAACTAAAATATGTATATTTCTCTTTATTTAATCTAAAAGTATTGGGAAAACTTTAGAATACCGTCCCAGGATTTCGGAAATAAAATGGGTATGGTCGGATAGAGGAGGTTCTCCGAATCAAGAATGTATGTACATATGTATATAGTTATAGCCGCAGGAAACTAATAGTCTTCGAAATATTTAAAATAATCAGTGCTACCTTATCGTCATCTTTTGTAAATGAACTAAAAGAAATAAAGAAAATAGATTATACCCAAAAAAATATTTTTGCAGTTACAGCCAATGGGGTGTGTCAAGTTCGACCGCGCTTCAAAAAAATAACCCTGGTCGGTCCAACACTGGAATCAAGTTTTTGAATCTCATTATTGTTGGTTAAAACGATTGGTCATTCTCTTAGAGACACGGTGTGTTACCCTTCAATTAATTTCTCTATTTTGGCTTCTTTCATTGAATACATTCATTGGTAGTTGCAGCAATCTTATTTGCCCCATCTGTGGTAATTGCAATTATAGTAAATCGAAGAACATTCTTGTCATACACAGAACTTGGTTGAGACATGACTTTTGAAAGAAAACGAATTTAACAGAACCAATCTCAAGATATAGTTTACAAATCATAGTGGCAATAGTTAGTCTAAGTATATTGAATAATGGGGATTTATTTTACATAAAGTGAACAATTTATTTCTTTTTAATCCACCGGATTATTTACAGTAATGAATAGAACTATTGGCGACGTAAGATACTTAAATTTTAGCACTGTTTTTATCTCTTATAAAATAGGATTTCAACAACAAAAAAGTCTACAGTTAGGACGAGTAATTATCAAATATATTGCCTATAATTTATTTATACCATATATTTATCATAATTATATTATTTATTTAATAGTAATCTTACAGAGAAAAAAATTTATTGGCATACTCAACGAAAAAACAGAGGAAACAAAAACCAAGTTAACTATATATGACATTAATATTTTGTAGCCAAGCCCTTTTGCTTAATGACTCTTTCCAGCCGGTTTGGCATTGATGAAACCAATTTTCCTTCAGTTTTTTCGTTTCTGTCGATATTTTGCCATTCCAACACTAGTGCGACCTTCAACTCAGCTTTTGTTCATATTGCTCGCTTCATAAGTGCCTATCTAGTTCTTCCCATAAATGTTCTCTACGGTTTAGATCGGGCGGATGTGTTAATGTATGTTCAATGTGGAGTGCCACACTACATACGTTCATCATAAGCAGTATGCTCGTCCTCACTGTATGTTCTTTCTTGTTTAAAACTTATTTTACAAGTGGTAAAAAGCAGTGCTAAAATTAAAGAATCTTGCTGTGCCAATAGTACTGTTCGCCACTGTTTATAGATGCGAGCTTACCATTATCTATACTTTATATAAGTTTAAAACTATCGACATCGTTCTTTGTTTATAAATATACGATATACGATGTTTCGCATATTAATAATATAACAAAATAAATACATATGTATGTTAATGTACATATTGCATAAATTCAAGTGTAACGCTTATAAGCAATACGGTATAATTAATTATATTTGATTTAGTTGTTAATATTGTTTTTTATACTCTTGTAACCAGTTGACACAGAGTATTACAGTTTGGTTCACCTAATGGTTGGGCCTATCAACCAAAAATTAATCGCGATATTTATATTGGGCTATAAATGTATGTATATATAAAATTAATCAGGGAGACGAGTAAAGCTAAAATCCTGTCTGTCGGACCGCCATAAGCCGAAAGCCTATAAAGTGTCATAACTAGGTGTCGCAGTAGCCATGTGCACCCGTGGGCAGAAAATGTTGAAAAAGTGGGCGTGACCCCGCTCTCTAATAAGTTTAATGTATATATCTCCTAAACTAAAGCTTCAACAACCAAATTCACCCCCTGCGAATATTAGAAGAACTTCTACTGATAGTGTGAAATCGGATGAAAACCCCGCTCAGTCCCCACATAACGGTACTGTTCAAAACAAAGTGCGATAAATTAAATAATATAAAATACGCCAAAGACATTAAATTTTATCACCGAGAGGAGAGATCTTTATGGGAGCCCGTGTGAAACCGATTTCAGCAAAATTTAGTACGTGGCATTCTCAACAGTCTTATGTCACATTATGAAAATGGACGAATTCGGAATTCCTTTTGATTCTTTTACTTACCAGTACACAAATCATGAAGAAATTAACATAACGGGAATAAACTTTGCACGAATAATTCTTTCAGTATATCCCATCTTATGACGAGGTTATCGATTCAGAATTATGGCTGTATAGGTAATATTCCCGTGGCCTATTCCGTTTTTTCAACACCCTAGCGCTACTATTTCCAACATATATGTATGTATGTACATTGCAATTTGAGTTATCTTTTATTTTTTTTTTATTAAAGCTTACATAATAAACAAATTATTAAATAAACTAAAGTACGCAGCGCTAGCATCAAAGGCTTTCGGCTGAGTTATCTATCGTTAAAATTATATAGAAAACCTGAATATTCCTTTGATGAGAGCTACAGTAGAAACCAGAAGTAATATTTTTCCTTAATATTTACGAACAAGTTGGCTTAAAAAATAATAATTCACGAAATTCAATTAAAACGTTCAATATTTGAAATATATTTAGAGATTTTCCTTCAATGTAAAGAATCGGAAATATAAATTAAATAATTGTTAAAGTCAGTTACTTAATAAAGGCTATCTAAGCCTCATACAGAGATTCGACTGAAAAATGCCTATAATAGTTGGCAGTAACTAACACAAGGTATCTACCTGCATAAACTTTATGAAACTAGGGAAGACGAGCACACATTATACGTACTATATAGACAATTGCGTTATTTTCTCAATTTCCATTAAATGTTTTGCTTTAACACCGAGGTCAAACGCTCAATAAGTGATAACGGCATAAGGTATCTTAAAAGTATAAATTTGTGATAAGTATTTTGGTGATTTGGTATTGTTGGTATAATAGAAGGCGCCAAGTGGGCTTCTGCTCTAACTAGCAAGTCCACAAACCTTCTAGTGGACACCCAAGCGCCAGTTAAGACTTTCATAACCCCAATACGAAGTTTCTTTGCGTTAGGTTATCAATGCAGGCAATAACTAGAATTTTAGAACTCATTCATGCGTCAAAGCTAAAAATCTTGACGGATGCAGTTGTCGAAGTTATGTAGAGCAGTCTCAACAAATTTGTATAGAATCGACCCTATTCTAAAAGTGATTTCACTTGGACAGCTTAGAAAGCCGGTCTGTTGTGGTTCCTAAAACTCCTTTATAATTTATGATAAGGTCCTCACAGATCGAGGAAGGGCTTTGGGCATACACAAATCTGTTAAGACTACTCTATATAACTTTTATAACCTAACCTAACTCCTTAAAACATGACAAACAAGTGTATTAGGAAATTAACCGAAAAAATAAGTGCAAACGTTCAAGAAACTAAAACCACTTTCATAAATAATACATTTCTAATATTATATAAAATTGGCATGACATTGAACATGCTCCTGGGTATAAATATACATATTTACTGCACTTAAAAATGTATTTGCAACAATCATAAGTATACACATACCTTACACTACAGACTTTGACCACCTAAATTGGGCTAAATATTCACCTCGAAGATCACCTTGATTTTACGAGTATTTATTTGTTTTGATAGTAGTAATTTTAAAGAAGGTTCGTGAAGTTGTATTTGACTATAATTTAAGTCAATAATCAAATGCTCCAGAAATAAACGTTTAAAAGAAAGAACTTAGCATTTTGCAAATGCATTATTTTCCATAATTGCAAAATATTTTTATTTGTAAGCTATGCATAATTGAACTTACCAGTTAGTGACAAGTGTTCGACGTCAGATTGAACACGTTTATGCAGTTTTGTAGAAGCTTTGAACATTTTCTGGAAAATGTGATTGCGTAAAGTTCACGTTGACCAACTGCGTTGCTTGTGTAAAGGTTAATTCATCTAACGATCTTTTAACTCTCATTACTATTCAGTCAGAGAACAATGAGAAGACTTGAATAAGCTTATTGCTGCATCCATTCGCTTTGTACTCGTTGATAAGTTTTTGTTTATTATTTCACGCGCTTTGTACTGTTATATTTTAAATTTTTTGTTTTTGTGACCTTATTTTTCATACTACTTATACTTAATTATTTTATATACAAATTTGATCATTTCTTTAAAGTTTAGTAATTATTAAATAGGAACTTTATTTTTAATTGTCCTTAATGAAGGAGCATATTATATAGCAGTTTATTAGGAGAAAATTATATTATCAAAATGTGACAAGAACAAGTGATATGGTCCTGTAAATAAGTGTGATATAATTACGTATCAAAAGTATATATACATATGTGCCCAAAATGTGAACAATATTTATTTTGACTCATATTTTACAATAAGTTTAAAATAAATTTTTCATAGCACTTTGTAACTGTAACTATTTTAACTATCGCGGTCATCAAACTATGAGATGTTATCTGAATAACACAAGAGTGTTAATATGTACATATATAGGTATTTTAACAAAAATATCAAGGTATAATTCAAGAAATTAAAACCTTAAAAAAATTTGAGTTTTTAAAGTTTTACGAGGGTATTAGTCTCCAATTCGGAGGCCATCTGTAACGGCAGCAGTTGCGCGTAACGTAAAGACCGTTTTGATATATCACAGAAATAAAACACCATATCTTAAATTTTTTTTATAAATAATTAATTTGTAGAAAAAACTTAACTTCATCATTTGTTCTAGAAACTAGCTATAAATATCTAATAACTAAAAACCAAATTTAAAAACAGTTTTATTCATGACTGAAACCGTGAATGAAATAATTGTGATTCGTGCGATTATAAGTGCGCTGGGAGTAACGGAAAACTGTTTATTAAACAGGTAGTGAAACTAAGACAAGCTGCTTCGGACATGATAATCAAGCGATTAGAATTATTGAAATAATCAAAATACTATCGCTTATTCGTCAGAAGACATGTTTGTTTGTTCGTTGGAGAGTAACTTTGCATCTCGGCGGGCAAAAGTTTATGGCATACTAATCTATATCTGAACATTTGTTATCATAGCATAATCATTTGCGAAATGTCGTCGATGAGGCAGTTTGAAAAGGCTTAATGAGATTCATAAAGCAGACAAAAATACTGGGTTCATAAACTTATGGAATTAAGATATATTTATGATTTGGAAAGCACAGCTCCTAAAATATATTTATGGGAGGAAGGACAGGATTTTAACAATTTTTGCAGAATTACTATTGACCAATTTGATGATGTTATTGCAAAGAGAATACAAGTATATTATAATATAATTTACATTTGAGTTACTAATTGAATCAAACTATTTAAATTCATATATTAATATAGCCATAAAAGGTGGGTTCAGGTTTCGCGCTATTAAATTTAAAATAACCGGAATGAAACTGCCGTGGGAATATATGTACATAGGTAAATATGTCGGTATGTTGCCTCTTCGAAATTTTCAGGGAAATGAAAAGTTATTTGTAAAGTGACAGTTCATTGCACGCAGTAGTTAGTATTAACCACGCCCCAAATATTGCTTTCCATAAACAGTATGGAGTCTCCACAGGCAATACGTACAGCAATACAGTTAGTATACCATAAACGTTTGCCTGTCGAGATGCCTCGTAACGAAGACATTTATTGCATTTCGTTGCACTCATATATGATTATCTAACGATATAATTTTGATTTTTCATTTCAGATGATCCATCGCAGAGTGTTGCCGTGTTGTTTCGAAAATAGTCTTCAGAGTTTTCAATACTGCTTTCCATTATTCTGTGCTCAAAACAGGCAGATTTTGTTCTAGTGATTTCAGCTGTATACTCTTCTTCTTCTTGATTGGCGTAGACACCGAATTAACAACAGCGCGCCAGTCGTTTCTTCTTTTCGCCAATTAGATATTCCAAGTGAAGCCAGGTCCTTCTCCACTTGGTCCTTCCAACGGTGTGGAGGTCTTCCTCTTCCTCTGCTTCCCCCGGCGGGTACTGCGTCGAATACTTTCAGAGCTGGAGTGTTTTCGTCCATCCGGACAACATGACCTAGCCAGCGTAGCCGCTGTCTTTTAATTCGCTGAACTATGTCAACGTCGTCGTATATCTCGTACAGCTCATCGTTCCATCGAAAGCGATATTCGCCGTGGCCAACGCGCAAAGGACCATAAATCTTTCGCAGAACTTTTCTCTCGAAAACTCGCAACGTCGACTCATCTGTTGTTGACATCGTCCAAGCCTCTGCACCATATAGCAGAACGGGAATTATGAGTGACTTATAGAGTTTGGGTTTCAGCTGTATATAGTTGTCGGAAAACAGCTGATTCTTTTGTTCCTTGTAGGTTTATACAATGGCTATACGGGGGACTGTGTATCCGTCCGTCCGTCTTTCCTTGCAAGCTGTAACTTTATTAAAAATTTATATACCCTAATGAAACTTAGTACACGCGTTTCCTCGCAAAAATGTGAGGACGTTTTCGTAGATGAGCGTAATCGGACCACTATTACGCCCACAACATATAATTAATCGAATCTTATAAAATGCCAACGAAGAAAAAATTAAGATACAAAACTATTATTTGGTACAATGAATCGCAATATTTAGGGGCGCCTGTGGTTGGGAAATTGGTAAAAAAGTGGGCGTAGTCCCGCCGTCAAATAGCTTTTATGTATGTATGTATCTTCCAAACCATTCAAGTATCTCCCAAACTTTTAAAGACAAATCATTTCGAGAGCCTCACGACAGCGTGAAAAAATGTGAAATCAGATGATAACCACGCCCTTTCTCCATATAATGGTTTTATTAAAAACTACTAAAAGTGCGATGAGTGAATTACTAAATAAGCCAGAGACAGGATAAATCACACCCAGGAGTATACAAGACAGTTTTTTAAGAAACGGTGCCAAATTGGACAGTGAGCGTGGCACCGTTCACCTTAATCACATATTTCCGGACCTACTTTACCATTGTCAACTTAATTTGGAATAAAAGATTATTTGCACATTCCCATATTATAGTGCGAAACTGGGCGAAATCAAGAACCAATCTTAGGCGTGTTTTATTTGACCATCACAAGCTAATAGCTAAATCGTTGACAAATAAAAAGCTCTTAGCATTATTCATATTTGTTGTCAAATATGAATTATGTTGGCAACACTGGCAAGAACAATCAGCTGACATTCAATTTATTTCAACGGAATGTTTGACACGGAGAAAAGGTAAATTTTAATTTTTAAACTTGAAAGCAGACTTTTCACTAACTAAACAATTATTTCATTTATTTATCTGTTCCTGAAGTATCACAGCGAGAGAAAGGATGAGTACCTGAATGCGCAAAAGAAAAAGTTCGTCTGAGAAAACGTCTTGGAGGACATGATATTTCAAGGATTTGCGGTAAGAATATTTTCAGGTTAAGGTGTAAATATTTATTACATTAATTTCCACAGGATTCAACGGTTAACTCTTGAAGGCCTATAAAACAGCTAAAGATAATGAGAAGCAGACTGGAACTTCTCCGTGCACAATACCATATATACCGGAAATTTACGTAATTTGGCGAAAGTTTCTTGGGGACCAACAACCACATCCTAAACATTGAAACATATCAGTCAAGTGGTTAGTTCAAATTTAATTTTCATTACGTATTGCTTATATTGAATACTCTTTTTTTATATTTTTAAACAGTAAATTAGTTGCTAACAGAGTCAACTGATTTTAAACCAAAACTCTACGATATGCCAAGTAGCTCTAGGTAGAGCTAGACGGCACTAAATCGTAGCATGTGCACCAACTGAAGTATATCCACAAGTGCCGAACGCAGCAAATCCCCTTTACAGGAAAATCTAACTAAAAAGAAAAAGTGCAGAAGAAAAGGCGAAGTTCTGTGCGAACATACAAAATAACATGCAGAATTTGGTCGAAAACCGAAATCTCTATTTCGAACAAAAAAACTAAAAGTAGAAGAAGAAAACCAAAAACTTCTACAGTTTTCGGTTTTGAACAAAACATAGCGAAATTATATTATTACACAATAAATAGTTATTGTTTTATTTCATTGTATTATTTTATTTTACGGAAATACACAGTCAAGTATAACAGAAAATGTACATTTTATATTATGCGTACATATCTTGAACAAATGCATACGTATTTATATAAACGTGTTTAAATAAACGACATACAATTATTATAGGCCGGACAGACGAAAAAAATTAATCCGCATTAAGCAACGCTAATGCGCATTGAAATTTTATGGTCACAGATGGCAGACTTGCGCATTTAGACAGCTGATAGTGAGATTCGTTTGTTTATAAAAAAAAAGTAAAATAAAAATGAATAAAATAAATTATTAATAGAAGTTTGGGTATTTTTGGAAAATTGATATAAATTTAACGAAAAAATTCGTTTATTATTAACTACGTCAAGATAATAGAGTGAAATTAAAAGCAACAATTGATTGTGATGCGGAAAAACTGTGAGAAAAATTTAAGAATATTGGAAAAATGGATAGCAAATTGTACGTTGTTTATTTTCTGCCATCTAAAAATATTCAAATTTGTTTTTGTTAATATATGTTCTTGCACATAATTTAATTAGCAACATAAAACTGCTGATTCTTATGCTGTAAACGCAAAGGGGGCAGCAGACTTCCAGCGACATCTGTCAAAACATAGCAAAAATCTGCCATTTTTGAGCAGTGTTGCCTACTAGGGTGGGTCGATTCCGGACTTGCTTCGATTCGGCTTTTCTAATAGTGCGGAAAAGTTGCCTTAGTACTTCCTAATTCCAATGCAACTTCTTGTTTTGAGATCGGATTGCATCTTCAACCCCAACTCCGGCCTTGAAATTTCGGCAAATCCCCTACAATCGTGAATTTGCTTACCCAGACAGCCCTTTTTTGGGTTATTCGTTAGAAACGGAACAAAGAACTGGTGGAACAGTCAAGGTAATAGTCTTCCAGTTAATCATATCGTAGTAAATATTAGCTTTGAAATTCAGCTTTGGCACTTTATTACATCTAACCCTTCCATTTACAGTGTCAGACTCTGCTTCTCTGGCTGCCAGAAGACGGTCAACGGCCAACTTTCTGACTTCAATCCGTTCGTCAG